AATTAGACCTCGCAAAGTCTGCTCTTAAAGTCATACAGAAGCTGCCATCCAACACCCGCATTCCAGACGATTTTTTCACTCCCTTGCCAACGGATTGAACTGCAGCGTTCTACAGGTTCCGCTCCAGTCATCAAAAATTACAGTTGGATATGCTCGAATTATCATGAGATGAAGCCCTCAGCGCAATAGTGAGTTGGCACGGACCATGCCTACGAACACCGACTCTATCCACAATCCTATCCTCAATCCTATCCTCAATCTCTACCAATTATGCCAAACCGAATTTTGGTCGGAACGGAACTCTGGTGGGATAGCTCGTTTTACCCCCTACCTACCCGCCACTTCGCCGTAGCAAGTACCGTCAGAACGATATTCAAAACAGATTACTACAACTTCCACTTTAGATGTACGAAACTTGTGCGCGTTCAGTGCACTATGTAAGCTCAGAAGTAATATGTATAGTCATGTGGTTAGCCACTGACTAATGCCACTGTACTTAGACTTGCTCTCAGCATCATATACAACACAACAGAAGATACTTCTTGCATTTACAACTACTTACACACTAACTTACGTTTTATTATCATGCAACCTATGTAGAGTAAGCTGTTAGATGGAATAGAGTAAACTAATTACGTTAAATTAATCACAAGGGTCTAGAAAATTATGATTGTTCGATCTCGAGTTTGGAAGTACAAATGTGTGGATTATAGGTGTCGAAGTTTTAAATAGTCAGGTATGATATAAAATACCTGGTGTTAGAAACTTAAGTGATTTGTTTTGGCGAATGAGTGATAGAACAGATCGAGTGCGATTGGAGTTCTAGTAGATGATGCTGCATGCCCACCACATACCGGCTGTACTTGTGCATATGGAAGAAGGAGCGTCGCCGGGTTGTAGTGGGTTACTAACTATCCGTTTTCAAAACGATGTGCAGGGGAATAGCGAGAGAAGGTCGATGATTAATAGGCTGTATAAGAAGGCGCTTTGCTCTCTACACATTAACTATCCGAAACAAAATTATTGTTTCTTAGGATAGCGTGTGTTTCGTCCCTGCAAGTTAATCTATCCCCATATAACTAGGAACTATCGAGCCCCTTCACTCTGTCTCACATGCACGTGTGCGCTTATATATAATGCCGGGCCTCAAGCGGCTTTCTGCTTCTTCAGCATGTAGTCGCCGCCCTTCACCGCTTTGTATACACCATAAAGACCCGATAAGAACGCATTACTTTTCACAAGTCTCTTTAACAAGCCCTTGAATCCCGTGCCAAAGTCTTGCTTCCGCCCCCGATCCTTGACCTTGTCCCATATCGAGGGTAGAGACGTGGCGTGGTATTTCCGACGGAGCTCGTCATACCCGTGCTTGTCGTAGACCTGCCACCACTCATCTTCACTGTAAAATACGCGCGAGTAGAGCCATTTCAAACCGCCTAGCTCCCGCATCTTCGCTTCAATCTCACGGTTCGCACGGACGAATTCTGCTTCGTTAGATGGATACGGGCCCCACAGCCCGACACTGATACCCTCACCCTCATACCCGTCTACTTGCTTGCCGCCAACCAGCCCACTANTCTGGCAGGCAGATGCGATCACGAGCGTGCCGTCTGCAAGCACAACTTCAGCGCTTAGCACGGTCCGGTCGAAGAAGCCGTACTTGAAGCTGCTACTTTCACCGGCGGTTCCGACGAAGCCTCCGCCGACGGTGATGCCTGGGAATTCCATGACGACAGGTGGAAGTAAGCCGGCTATCATGGTTTCCTGGACGAGGACGTCCATGGGGACGTTGGGTTCGACCAAGGCGGTTTTGGTGTCATGGTTGATGGAGATGATGTGATTGAGGGTGCTGACATCGACAATGGCATTGCGGTCGAAATCTGTGTGACGCTCCATTTTCCGCGCGGTTTGGCGCAGAGCGAGAGATGGCAATATTTGTTTTTGGCTACGGCTAATGCCGCTGCACTAACTATGCGTGGCTGTGAGGTGAGGTTAATAAAACCACATCACTAGTTACTGTATGTATATGCATACACGCCGTGTTACATACGGCCGCTGAAAGCGCTTCTATGCAAGAACCAGTAAGCAGTTTAGAGGATCGCAGGTAAAGCGCTGCGCAGCAATCATTTTACAGACTAACAGATCTTTATAGCATCAAGACCCACAGATCAGCAGATCAGATCCGTGCCTTTCGCTTGCGGCATCGGATGACGCTGCCGGATGACAGGGATGAGCCAACCTAGGGGCCTCACGAGGATGGCAGGGCAAGACGGAGAGACGAGCTCTATGGCCTGAGCAGAGGGTGAATTCATCTCTCAACAGTCATGTGGCCGTGGCACGGTCGGGAAGATATATAGTGGCACAGCGTCTAGCGTCGCATCTTTCCAACTGCTGGGTAGTTACTGTTTATGAGCGTCATCAGTTTGAGTGAGCAATTTACAGTTTTCAAGGACTGTACCTAACGTCATTGCGCTAGCAATACTCATGGCCAACAGGAATACATGCCCGTGTATTGTACAGTTGCTACTGTAATTAGCGATTCAGGCTTCACCCCTGCGCACAGCTGCGCAATGTTTTTGAACAGTCTCACCCTCCGTATATGGCTTAGCGCTCGATGTCTGCTACAGAATAGTTAACTAATTAATGAATATTTTCATCACATTCTCTAGCCGTCCGCTCCGCTCGTATAGCGCCGCAACTTGCAGTGCTAACTAGTGTAACTACGTCGGAGCGAATCTTGCTAACCTGAGTTCGATCCCGCCAAATGGCCTCTAATATTTCTATAGCGTCCTCTGACCGGCCACTGTGCTCGTACAGTGCTGCAAGTTGTAGCGCTCGTCCAACGACGTCGAGGTGAATATTGTGGTGCAGTATCACGTGACTGGCTCGTAGTATATATTGCGATACTCTTTCGTACGTAGATAGACACCTTCTTCAATCAATCCCTTCACAGCGATTACTTTTCAGCTTGCATCTATCTACTCGATTGCGGGTCGCCCCCTCTGATCTTTTGAGCTCGATCACGTATCGTGCCACAATATAGCCATCCTTGGTTCG